ACACACAAGTACAACACAAAGCAAAAAGCCTTTCTAGAAGTCTTAGGAAAAGTTTATGGTATTCTTAAGGTTATGGTTTGTTTCAATAACAAATTTCAAAACCTTAAATGGTGCAAAAAGTACTAACATCCTAACTATAACCAGATTTTATATTTTTTATATTATCCTAAGCAAGAAGAGCTGGTTTGAAATGCCCTTAAAAATGCTGTAATTTTTAAAAGAGCAAATTGCGATTTTCCTAAATATCAAGAGGGCAAGAAATGAGAAACAGCTATGTGGTTTCACAAACTCTCTATTTAGAGGCTAGCTGGAAAGAGAAATCTGTACCCAATACTGAAGGAAGGATTAGAGTTTCTCCCTCAGTCAGGGCTACTAAGGAAACAATATAAATAGCAATGAGCTAAGAAAACATGAAAAGAATAAGAAAAAATAAAATAAAATGTGTGCACAATGGACTTGTGAAGCTCTCAATGATATTTACCTGTAAGAGACAGGGGAGTTATAGAGGTGACATATTAGTGCAGGACTGGTTTCCTGAAGAGCAAAGAGAACTGTCTACATCTAACCCAGCTTATCAATTCTGCAATAGCTTCCATTCATCAACATTTCCTTGCCTTGCATTTGTATCAAAGTGTCTTACACCACCCACCCACCCCCGTCTACACACACACACACTTGGTGCCCAGAGACTACTGAGATCTTCTGAATCACCCAAAATGAGTTTTCTACTAAGTAGATTTGACCAAATACTCAATTGGTCCTAAAGTGTTTCTTTGCTTGATTTTGTCCTGTAAAAAATCTCTCTTCTTAGTGCTTTGCTGATGAAGAATCTGGCTACTTAGGATCCTGGTTATATTCTTCTCTTCTCACTGAAAGGAATGAGCTCCTAGAAGAATTTGGTGTACATGCACATGCACTTTAAGAAAAGTATTAAAGTATTTTTAAAGAAGGAAAGAAGAAACATTAGAAAAATGAAACTCCAAGGAATCACATCCAAATTAATTCAACTGATCCTTGAAGAATGAAACCATTAGTTACCTAAGCATGGGTGCCCTCAGGCCAGTGTACCTGGGAGAGATGGGCAGGCAGAAAAGACATTAGAAATATTAGCTACTGATTCAAAATGAATTTCAAAGCTGAGAAGTCATTCTGAATAAGTAATACTGGCCACCAAGGACACGTGCTCTCAGAGCATACTCTCTGGGCAAGATGATACCTCATAAGCAATGGAGAAAAACAGAGCAGTGCTTCTGCAATCCTTCCTGAAATCAACTCCAGCTTTCAGGATGTATGGAGCTGAGCTTGCCAGATTTTACCAAAAGTTGTCTGCTCAACATCCTCCTGTGGTAATCTTCTGGCATTTCTTCTAATAAGTGATTATGTAAGAAATGTCCTGATAACAAAGCTTATTACCTAATCAGCCTGTCTAGGTCAATGATGCTTGTTCTCCATTTCCAAGCATATATAAAACTCAATCTGGCTGGAAATACATGCCCTCTATTTAGAACCTCTTATAAATTATACTATAAATTGTAATGCACAACTCATAAATATCACTTGCCCTTAAGTTCCCTGGAGTGTGGTCAGGTAGGGCCTTTAGGTACAGCTTTTCACTCACATGTTTGCAATTTACCTTTTTCTACATTCACAGAACTCATGGCTTAGGTGTTATTTAGAAAAAATAAGGCTGGCTTTTTTTTTAAAAAAAAGGGGCTTGGAATCAAAATACTTCTTAAAGATAGCCTGCTTTCAAAATTCAAAATAATCTATTCCCACCACATGTGACAAATATTTTCTTAAGAACTGAATTAAAGCAAAACTAAGGGTAAAATAAAGTACTTTTTTGGTAAGGATTTTAAGATTTAATTCTGGCTGGAGTTATAGCTCAATGGTAGAACACTTAACCTGGCATGCGTAAGTCTTTGGAGGGAGGGAGGGAGGCAGGGAGGGAGGGAGGGAAACTCTGCTCATATCAACCACAGGGTAGGGCTGGACATGCTGCAGCTAACTTACTACCAACATAACTCAAAGCCTAGCACAGACATGGCAACAGCAACCATGACCCATACAAACCATGAGAAGCAGGTGCTTCCACCCCCTTTCTTATAACCAATTTGCCAGGGGTCCCCTTTCCTAAAAGCTGCCAAAGGTCAGACTGGGAATATACCAATCATATAGTATGTTACTTATTCTGTTGCAAAGTTCCGATACTCTAAAAGAAAAAATAATTTGCTGAAACAAAATGTGAGGCAGAATCTCAGGACTCACCTTTATCAGGAACATGAACTGCCAATTTCTTAAGGCCATCAACAAGCACATGTATGTTGCCATGTCTATCTTCTGAGTCGCTGTCATCAAACTGAGCCTCTATAATGACATCAGGACTATCATTACAGCCTTTCGGGGACTGCTGCAGGAGGTGGTGTCCACAACACTCCTCAGGGACATCGGATTCATAGGTAGCTTCTGTTTCTTTGTCATTGCTCTCTGGTTTAATTACCTGAAGAGATAGAAAAATTCTTCTAAATCACTACAGGAAGTGGGCAACATTAAATATTCACTCATACAGTTTGATGCACAGACAACCCTACATAGATAAGTAAACCAGCAATGCCAGGCTGTCGCTCAACTCTTCAAGATGCCCCTCTCATTATTATGATCTATATTTTTATCCCTTCTCTCCCAAAGGCCCTGAATACAGGAAAGTACCACCCTACTTCCCACCTTTATAACATAGAAGCTATCACTGTGTTGGGAAATGATAAAAGGATTCAAATAGGCTTGCCACTGTGTTCCCAAGTGACACCACTACAAATGACTTCCAGATAAGATGATGGACTAGAAGTTGCCTCCATGTGACCAAGTGAAAGAGTCAGAATAAGGAAAAATACTCCATTCCAAAGAGAAGAGAGGAAGAACTTTAGAAATTCACAAAGGTCATGAAGGACACCTGCAAAGTACAGAAAAAAGATGGGCAACGCACCAAAACCAGCAAACCAAGCCGAACAACATAAGGAGAAGGGAACAGAAGCCTCGTCCAAAAGCAGGTTTTCTCTTCCCTGGGTGCTACTGGGGACTGAGCCCTCAAGAGCAAGCTGTTCAATAAACTCTCCAAATAAGACACAAAGAGGTAAATACATCAACAGATACACAGATCACAACTCAGAGAGAAGAATCATGAAAAAGCACTTGCTGCTCTTGCAGAGGACCAGAGTTCACTTCCCAGCACCTATATCAGGCTATAACTCCAGTTCCAGGGAATCCAATGCATGCCCTCTTCTGGCCTTTGTGGGCACACATGTGGCACACACACAGACATATACACATACACACAACATAAATCTTTTTAAAAAATATATGAAGCCTTAATTCTTAATTTTTAGGCCTGATATCAATATATAAAACACACAAAATGATAGACATCTACACCAGCAATAAGAATGAAGCAAGCAGGAGAGAATAATCTAGATATTAATCTGTTCTATGAGTCTGACATATGACACACATGACAGCACTCTTTTATCTCTATAATTACTGTAATAAAAAGAGCCATGTGTTGAGTTACTGAAGAAAATCTGTGACCTTATATATAAATCTTCCCATCCATATTAGCAAAAACAAACAGCAGACTTTGGGTTCTAAATGCTACTTACAACATTACATCCTTCTTAACAATCTATTTCTGGATGAAAAAAAAATCTATATACAAATTAAACATACAATAAAAGTTAAAACAACCATACCCATGAACATATAAATACAAAAAAACCAAATCTGATCCCTATTAATAGTTCATTCCTCTCATTTAAGATATGGAAAAGGAAAAGCCTATAAGAATCTGTGTTTTTGTAAGTCACCCCCCCAAAAAAAATATCATGTAAACTATGCAAAATCCAAATAGAATGTCTTATGTCTGTTGGTCAATCTGCATCAGGACCAGGAGACCATAGAGTTGTCAGAGGGCACATGCAGGTCCCCCAGGGAGGGAAAAGGGAAAAATTTGGTGAAACAATTGGCACAGTCAGCCGGATGACACTGGAAACAACAAACCACAGAAGTTCGGGAAAAGCAAGGGGGTTAGCAATGTTCACATGGGTTATACAGTGGATCATAAAATATGTAACTAGGGAGATGCGGGCCACACAGACATGGACAGACTCAAAGGGGAAAATCCCTGGGTCACAGCCATCCTGTAAATGTGGGAAAATAGTGCAGTTGCTTGTATGTGAAGATTCTATAATGGTCATAGAGAGCCTAGAAAAAGTTTTACAAACCTTGGATGCAAGAAGGGAATCCAGAGAGGAGGTGTGGTCACTTTGCATAACAAAAGATTTGTCTGAAACAAAGGCAGTCAAGGATGAAAAGGCTAAGGAATTACTGACAAATTCAGCCTTAGAGCTTAAGAGAGAGGAAAAAGGGGAGATTTTAACTTGTGTAAGGTTAGGGGACCAGGAGTAAAAAGACCCAGGGAAAAAGACAGATAGTAATGAGAAAAGAAACAACCTAAAAATAACAGTGGCTAAAGCTGCCCCTCAGATTCAATAACCTTTTATTCAAAAAGGAAAAAGAGTTAGCAGTCCTGTAGCTAGGAGAAAATATTCCACACTGGAGCTGTTGAAACCAGGAAAAACTTCAAGCAAACGATCAAAGAGCCAGCCCCTCACTATATGGCCCATGAGGGTATAGGACATGGGAGCAAATAATGTCAGTTTAAGTCCTTTACAAGCTTCACAGCTGAGTTATATAATTACCCATCTGTCCTTGAGACATAGGCTGTTCAACCTAGGCCAATATCCTAATGGAATGGCTTGTACAGGTATTAAAGATACATGGTCATCACCAGTGGAGATTCCCATGATTAGCAGAGGCTGGAAAACTATAAAAGAGGGACAGGTGTTACTGAGAGAACTAGGTATGAGAAAAGCAATATATAATGCCCAGTTTGCTGGGCCAGATAGGGCTATGTTTACCAGAGATATAAAGGAAACTTAATTCAACTGAGACCTCGAGAATGGTATAGAGCTTTAATGGTTTTACTAAGTCCTTTAGTGGGACAGGATCTTTGTAAAGTGAGGGAGGCTATGGCAGATCTAAGTGACTCAAACCAGCATGTAAAATGTGTCTGTAGAATGATGGCACAACCTACAAGAGATGTAAAAAGACTAGATAGAAGAAATGATCCATTTGGTTACTCAAAGACAAATGTGGCAAGATTTATGTCAAGCCCAAATTCCCAAAGAAAAAATTGATAGAAAATCAAATTCGGTACTAAGGAATTTCTGGAAGGCTTTAAAAACTGAAGAACAATTCACAAAAGGTATTCAGAGGATAAAAACTATCCCAGGGGTGGTTAAGAATCCCCAAAGATTAAATAAGGTACATTTCCTGAGAAAGGCTATGCTAGGGGTGGAGGCAGTTTTTCCCACTAGGGCCTCCCCCAGCGCCAGGTATGGTCAATGGAGAGGTGGCAGATATGGCTACAGCCAGGAGGCAGACCCAGGGCCTGCCTGACTCGGGGAACCAACAGGTGCAACGGGGACAAGACAGACCCCTCCTTAGCCTGGTGCAGGGTCAGGCAACTTGAGCCAGCACCTACAAATGTATCAAGGATAAGAAAATACAAAGAGACTCCAGGTAAAATCCCCAAGATGGAGAATAACTCCGAAGGGATAACTAAAGATAGTAAAAAAACTAACCAAACGAATGCCTCTCCCATGCTATGGTACCTAACAGAGATCTATGGAGAAAGCAATTAATACGAATGGATAAAACCTTTCCATGATGTGTTAGACCTTGTCTATGATTGATTTAATATATGATGTTAACCTTTGAGTGTTTTACAGATGTGAAACACATTTGAAAGATACCTGAAGAAACAAAGGCCAGCGATAGCTATAAGATTCTTGGGAGGTTTTATGGTTGGGTAAAATAAAAACAGAGGCTCCCAAAACTGTACAACTGCTAAGAAAAACTACAGTACCAGTGGTGGGTTGCCCCACTATGACCTGTTGGTCAAAGAGATCCTAAAGGTCCTCAAATTAACCAAGCCTATTGCCACTAATGTTGGTTGTACATTAGAAAGGTCGGTAAGGCCATGTTGCTGAAGATACTGCATGATGTGAGTGCAAGAGAAGAAGAGATGGAGCCAAGACTAAGCTAAAAACTCCATGTCACTGGATGGATGACATTCATAGTGCCAGAAGGTGCTATGCAGAGGGTTGGGGAAAAAGGATCCCCCATGATTCTGCTCAACAATGAACCCCGAGTGCTGCACACTATGGACATGCCAAGCAATACCTACTAGTGCAATAATGGCTTGACTAACACGTACAACTGACAAATTTCTAATTGGATAAGGCCTACTCTTAGGGGTGGAATACACATCTGGTGCTGTAGACCAGGCCAACCCTCTGTATCAAGGAAGGCTATAGGCCCCAGCAGGGAAGTCGTTGCAAATATACTGTTTAATAAATATGGTACACCTACTGGAATATAGTATAGGCATTTGCATTTACATATGAGTTTGTTTAGATGTGTCTACTTCCTTCCATTTATCTTTAGAGTAGAGGAAACACCACTGAGATAGATCAGCGGCCACGTCTTGAAGACAAATGATGGGGAGGCCCAAGAGGTCAATACCTCACCATGATACAAGAGAGATCGCCCTGCATGTCACTCCCTCCAAGGCGGAATTATGGAAGAGGTGGCAGAAAGTTTGAAAGAGCTGGAAGAAGGGGTGGCATAACCTGAAGGATCCTTGCTCAGCTGGAGTCAATCCAGGGTGAGCGTGTGCGACACGGAGCACACTGGGAAAAAGGAGTGGAGCCACTGCCATATTGAGCATGGGTGAATGGCAAGTGAGGGAGACAGGGGAGATGGCACATGCATTTCAAATATGGAAAAGGAAAAGCCTATAAGAATCCATATTTTTATAAGACACCCCCTCCTAAATGTCATATAAACTATACAAAATCCAAACAGAATGTCTTATGTCGGTTCATCAATCCTCAGGACCAGGAGACCCTAGAGTCCTCAGAGTGCAGGTCTCCCAGGGAGGGAAAAGGGAAAAATTTGGTGAAACACGTGTACACACCATACTAACAGGTACATACACCATATATGCATAACACACACACACACATACACACACACACACACACACACACACACACACACACACACACACACCACAGAATTACTATTCGGGGTATTACATTCACTTTTGAACCAGGAAAGCAAAAAATGCTGTAATAGGACTTCATGAATAAATCAAGTAACTTAAAATTGTGGAACTAAAATATAATTATATTGCATTTTTAAGTATTTTCATTCTAGTTTATTAATCTAGGACATGTAAGAATAAAGACAAGAGAGATGGCTCAGAAGGTAAAAGATATCAGCCACAATGTACAAGGCTGCCATCCAGAGTTCAATCCCCGGATCCCACTGTGGAAGGAGCTTGCCCTCTGACAATGCTGAAGCATGTGTATGTCCACTCAT